TCTCACTGTGTCTCTCTCTGTCAAATAAATAAATAAAATCTTTAAAATATATATATATTTTATTTGTTTGTCAGAGAGAGAGCATGAGCACACAAGCAGGGGGAGCGGCCAGCAGAGGGAAAAGCAGGCTCCCCCACTGAGCAAGGAGTCCAGTGTGGGACTTGATCCCAGGACTCCGGGATCATGACCTGAGCCAAAGGCAGACGCTTAACCAACTGAGCCACTCAGGAATCACTTTACTTGCCTATTCTATTTTTATGAGTTTGAATATTCTTGTTGCGATTGATTAGATCAATATGAATTACTAATGGGTCTCCAGCCACACTTAAAAAAAAAAAAAGCTGCTCTAAGTGGACTATCTCATTTATTCCTCTTACTATCAGTATATCCATTTTACAGAAATGAGGCATAGAACAGTTAAGTAATTTGCCAAAGGACTTACTGCAAGTAAGAGGTGAAGGCAGGATTTGAACTCAGAGATGCCAGTCTTCACCACCTCACACAAAATACATATATTCGACCTTATTTGTTGGAATGACATTTGATGAGTGATTGCACCGTGCTGGACCCTGGGGCTGCAGAGGTAAATTAGACGGGGACCCTGCCCTCACAGAGCTCCTGTCTAGTGGGAGAGGTAAGACACCCCCACCAGGGTGCCTGGGTGGCTCAGTCGTTAAGCGTCTGCCTTCAGCTCAGGTCATGATCCCAGGGTCCTGGGATCGAGCCCCGCATCGGGCTTCCTGCTCCGCGGGAAGCCTGCTTCTCCCTCTCCCACTCTCCCTGCTTGTGTTCCCTCTCTCGCTGTGTCTCTCTCTGTCAAATAAATAAATAAAATCTTTAAAAAAAAAAAAGACACCCCCACCTCCAGAACTGCAATACAAGAACACAAACTGAGAAGCGTGCCAAGAAAGGACAGGAGGAACAAGGTCGCTGACATTTGCAGGGAAATAAGAGCGAAGGTTTCTGGTCACTTCCCTGGTACACTTATTTCAGCTACTTGTTCTTCCCAGTGACAACTGTACTTGTAGATACATTTCTACTTTAGTGTCCATCATACGAGATAGTTGAGTATCATGATCATAGTCTGGCTTTTGAGACTCAAGAGAAGTTAAGTGACTTGCTCAGAGTGGCTCAGCTCACGTTCTGAGCTCATCCCTGCCACCTCCAACCCCAGGAACAAGGATATGGAGGGAGCCCCACCATAGACCGTGTACAGCGTGCTCTGCATGGGGCCCGGGTGATTTCCTGTGTGGGGCACAGCGGACAAGCTTTATCAACCAGCAGATGAGATGGCATTTTCCTCCCAAACCGCAGTCTTAAGAACCAGGGGTGGGGAAAAGGGCAGAGAGAGTGAATTAGTTTAGAATCACTAGGCAGTTCATAAAAATACACCTTATTATTTTTTTCGGGTTTTTTAATTTTTTTAAGTATTTTTAATTGCGGTAAATTACATGTCAAATTTACCACCCTAACCATTTTTAAGTGCACACTTAAGTGTCATTAAGTACATTTACATTGTTGTGCAACCATCACCCACCATTCCTGCCCGAATTCTTTTCATCTTGCAAAACTGAAACTCTGTCCACAGGAAACACTAGCTCCCTACTCCCCCTCCCCCTGTCTACTTTCTATCTCTATGAACTTGCCTATTCCACTATTCTACTTATATTCATATAAGTAGACTTGTATAGTATTTGTCCTTCTGTCACTGGCTTATTTCACTTAACATAATGTCTTCAGGGTCCATCCGTGGTGTGGCTTGTATCAGAATTTCCTTCCTTTTAAAGGCTGAATAATGGGCGCCTTGGTGACTCAGTCGTTAGCAGCGGGAGTGGGAGAGGGAGAAGCAGGCTTCCCGCTGAGCAGGGAGCCCAATGCAGGGCTCTATCCCAGGACCCTGGGATCATGACCAGAGCCGGAGGCAGACAACCAGGTGCCCCTCTTTTTAAAACAATTTAAGTTCCAAATTCAAAAGGTGCAAAAGCGTTTGGCCTGAAAAATCTACCTCCCCACTTCTCTCTACCCCCAGCCACCCACTTCCCCTCCCTGGAAAAAATTTAAATGATCAGTTTCTTGTGTATCCTTCCAGAGGTACTTTATGGAAACAGAAGCAGATATGAAAATATTTTTCCTTTTTTTTACACAAATGGTATTATAACATATACCCAGTTCTGCCTTTTGTGTATTTTCACTTAACATAGCATGAAAGGTGAATTAAATCAGGATATAAAGAGCTTCATCATCTTTTAATGAGGAAAACTTCCATTGTATGGTATTATCAATTGTTCAGCTGAGGGTTCTTTTTTTTTTTTAAGACTTTATTTATTTATTTGACACAGAGAGAGAGAGCACAAGCAGGGGGAGAGCAGCAAGCAGGGGGAGCAGCAGGGAGAGGGAGAGCAGGCTCCCCGCTGAGCAGAGAGCCCGATGTGGGGCTCGATCCCAGGACCCTGGGATCATGACCCAAGCCAAAGGCAGACGCTTAACCAACTGAGCCACCCAGGAGCCCCAGCTGAGTGTTCTTAACTTGAAGTTCTTGGACGCCCAAGGGGATCGTTGATTCTTTTTTTTTTTTTTAAAGATTTTATTTATTTATTTGACAGAGAGAGACACAGCGAGAGAGGGAACACAAGCAGGGGGAGTGGGAGAGGGAGAAGCAGGCTTCCCGCGGAGCAGGGAGGCCAATGCGGGGCTCGATCCCAGGACCCTGGGATCATGACCTGAGCCCAAGGCAGACTCTTAACGACTGAGCCACCCAGACGTCCCGGGATCGTTGATTCTAATCCAAGAGGCCCATGTCCTTGCATGGGAAAAAATTATATTTTCATTAACTTCCAACTGAAATGTGTCAGTTTCTTCAATTGTGAATGTAGACAACAAAGCACAGTAATATTAGCAATTCCTGTGGCAATCACCGATGGAAATCACAGCTATCTTCATGTCCCATTACAGTGTAGTTCACATCTCAAAGTTTTGTTTTTGTTGAGTATTTCACTGGCCCTGCGTCTAGCTCACTTTATTTAATAAAGAAGCAGGTATATTAATCATAAATTTGTTTTTAGAGGATTTTGATGAGTGTATGTCACCTTAATTGGTCTCCTTATAATTTTGTGCCTTTCATTTTATACATTTTAACACATTGTTTGGAGGAGGGCCATGTGGGCCTTCCCAGGCTGCCAAAAGGGTCCGTGGCACAAAAACGGTTAAGATTCTCTGCTTTAACCAGTCTCCTATCAAAAGACGTTTATGTTCCAATCATTTGCTCTTAGCACGTGCAACACTGAAAAATCCTAACAAATGTCATTTGGCTCCTGAGGGAGAGTGTCTTGAGGAAACGGACGCACTGGATCAGAGGGAAGGAGCATCTGAAATTCGGATAATATGTAATGTTAAATTACGCTTCCCAGAGGCCAAGGAGACCCAGTCCTCCGGCAGTGAGCACAGGTGCGGCTTCCCCACAGCCCTTACAGCTCAGGGGGTGTTCAAACACCCTGATTCCTGTCAGTGCGACGAGAGGAACGTGCTCACTATTACTGTTACCTCTTCCTCCCGTGCCTTGTTCTCTCCGTCACCTGCGGCCTGGTTGTGCCTTAGTTTTTATTTAACTGGGCATCTATTCGTGGACATGTAGGTTGTTTTCAAACAGTTGCTTAAATCTTAGTTTGAAAACATTTCAAGCCTATGGAAGAGTTGCCAGAAAAGCACCATGGACATCTGTATACCGTTCACCGGGATTCAGGTATTGTTTCAGGTGTGTGTGCGTGTGGTGTGTAGTATGTCTTAGAAGATACACACCGAAGTATTTATATACACGCACAAAACACATATACGTGTATGTATATATGCATATACAAAAGTAATATGCATTATGTATTCACTACTAGTTTTCCTCAACTATTTGAGCAGACATTACGTTAGTTGCAGGATTAGTAGAAGACTAGGGTCCTTTACCCTAAATACTTCAGTGAGTATCTCACAAGACCTACTATTGCATAATCGCAAGTAAATGATCGAATCCAGAGGGAAAAAGTGATAGAATACAAAGACCTGATATACTACCCCTATTCAAAATTCAGAATAATGTCCTTTACAGCCTGTTTTTTCTGGTGCAGGACCCAATCCGGGGTTACACAGTACCTTTGGTTGACATATCTCTTCAGTCACCTTTAATCTGGAACAGCTCCGCAGCTTTTCCTTGTCTTTTACGACCTTGACATTTTTGAAGATTATGTATCAGTTGGTTTGTAGAATGTCCTTCAATTTGGGTGAGTTCAAGTGATACGTGTTTAGCACGAATACTGCTGGAGGGATGCTGTGTCATAGTGCATCGTATCAGGAGGCACGGGACTCAATTTGTCATTACTGGTGATGTCAACGTGTATCACTTGCGTAATATGGTGTCTGCAAGATTCCTGCACTGTAAAGGGGACTTTATTCCCCTTTGTAATTCATAAGTACTTGTGGGAAAATACTTTAAAACTGTGGAAAATATTCTGTTCCCCAACAAGCTTTCACCCAAAAGTTTTAGATTCATTCATTAGTCTCCCCTGAATTGATTATCACAAAGTTGGTTAAAAAAGGATGATTTTTTTTAAAAGATTTTATTTATTTATTTATTTATTTATTTATTTATTTATTTATTTATTTATTTATTTATTTATTTATTTATTTATTTATTTGAAAGACAGAGAGAGTGAGTGAGAGAGCATGAGCAGGGGGAAGGGGAGAAGCAGACTCCCTTGCTGAGCAGGGAGCCTGATGCGGGGCTCCAATCCAGGACCCTGGTATCCTGACCTGAGCCGAAGGCAGTCAGCTTAACCATCTGAGCCACCCAGGTGCCCCACTGGTAAAGATTTTATTTTTGGGGCGCCTGGGTGGCTCAGTTGTTACGCATCTGCCTTTGGCTCAGGTCATGATCCCAGGGTTCTGGGATCGAGCCCCGCATCGGGCTCCTGGCTCCGTGGGGAGCCTGCTTCTCCCTATACCACTCCCCTTGCTTGTGTTCCCTCTCTCGCTGTGTTTCTGTCAAATAAGTAAATAAAACCTTAGGGGAAAAAAAGATTTTATTTATTTATTTGACAGAGAGAGACACAGCGAGAGAGGGAACATAAGCAGGGGAGGTGGGAGAGGGAGAAGCAGGCTTCCCGCCGAGCAGGGAGCCCGATGTGGGGCTCGATCCCAGGACCCTGGGATCATGACTTGAGCCAAAGGCAGACGCTTAACGACTGAGCCACCCAGGTGCCCAAAAAGATTTTATTTTTAAGTAATCTCTACACCCAACATGGGGCTTGAACTCACAACCCCAAGATCAAGAATCTCATGCTCAACCGACTGAGCCAGCCAGGGGCCCCAAAAGGATGAGTGTTCCACTCTCTCATCTTGTACACTCATTAATTGGCCTTCTGCTCCTCTTCCTTCCCTGTTTTAGTCAGAGTTCTCCAGAGAAACAGAACCAATAGGGGATATAGCTATTGATATAAAGGGGATAGTTACTTGAGGCATTGGCTCATGCAGTTATGGAGGCTGAGAAGTCTTACAGTCTTCAATTTGCAAGCTGGAGAACCAGGAGGTCCTGTGAACTCAGGGGAGGTGGGCTGATGGTGTAAGTCCTGGTCTGGAACCAAAAGTCCAAGAACCAGGAGTGTCAATGTCTGAGGGCAGGAGAAGGAGAATGTCCCACATCAACAGACAGAGCTCAGAATTTACCCTCGTTCCACCTTTTGTTCTGTTCAGGCCCTCAGTGGATTGGATGATGCCCGCCAACCCATCAGAGAAGGCCATCTGCTTTACTCGGTGCATCAGTCCAAATGCTAATGTCTTCCAGAAACACCTTCACAGACACACTCCAAAATAACGTTTAACCAGCTATCTGGGCAATCCTTAGCCCAGTCAAGTAGACACATAAAATTAACCATCACATCCCCGTTAATGAACTAATTTAAATATTTAAATTTTAAGTGTGAACAAACAAGTTTGCCTTTTTGGGGTGGACAGTCCATCCTCATGAGAGAAACCGTATAAGCGACCAACGTCTTTTCTCGCAGGTAAACCTGGGACCGGACAAAATGGTGGTTGACCTGACAGATCCCAACCGACCACGCTTCACTCTCCAAGAGCTGCGGGACGTGCTCCAGGAGCGCAACAAGCTCAAGTCCCAGCTGCTGGTGGTGCAGGAAGAGCTGCAGTGTTATAAGAGGTGGGGCTCCCCTGCCCTGGGTGCCCCCGCACTGCAGAGACATACCCCGCCTGCAGTTCCTTGACACGCTCTGTATTTGTTCTTATTTTCGCTCAGCCAGTTTATTGGAGACCTACTCGATGCCAGGCACTATTCCTGGCACCGGGCTATAGCAGTGAACAAACCAGAGAAAGTCCATGCTAGTCTAGGGGGGAAGACAGGCAATTGACAAGGAAGTCTGAGATGAACATGCAGGATGATGGTGGTAAGTGCTCTAAAGAATGTAAACCAAGGTGACGGGGGCGCCTGGGTGGTGCAGTTGGTTGGGCGTTCGGCTCCTGATTTTGGCTCAAGTCATCATCTCGGGGTTGTGGAAGCGAGTTCTGCGTCAGGCTCCTCGCTGGGTGTAGAGCCTGCTTGAGATTCTCTCGCTCTCCCTCTGCCCCTCCACCCTCCTCTTTCTCTCTCTCCCTCTCTAAACCAAACAAAAACAAGGTGACATATGACAGCAAAGTGCTGGGGGCTTGGGGAGGGGCCTGTTTTACATGGGCTGGTCAGTGAAGACCCTTCTGAGGTGAATGACAAGAAGCAGCCAACCATGTAAAGATGGGTAGGGCAAAAGTAGAGCGAGAGCGCTAAGACCCTGAGGTGGGAACCACCGTGGCCAATTTAAGAGACCCAACATGGTAGAAGTTGGAACACAGGTAGAGGATGAGAGGTATGCCTTGTGAGCCCCAGAAAGGGGCTCTAATTTTATTGTAAGTGTAGTGAGAAGTCATTGGAAAGTTTTTTTGTTTTTTTTTTTTTT